CCATAAGATGGGAGCGACTGGAGGCGAATAACTTGAGGTCATCCATATAGAAAAGGTGGGTCACTTTTGTCCCTCCTCTCCGTAGCTGAAATCCCCTCCCGGAGCCCTCCAGTAAGGTACTGAGAGGGTTCAGAGAGAGGCAGAACCAGATTGGACTCAGACAATCGCCCTGGAAGATACCCCTTCTTATCCTTATGTGGTTCTCCGCAGCCATCATCCGCTCGCCCAGATGACAAAGGATCGTACTCCACTGCCCCATACACTGCTCGAGGAAGTCTCTAACTGTACAGTCTATCTTGTACAGCTCGAGGACTCTCTTTAGCCATGTATGGGGCACCGAGTCGAATGCCTTTCTGTAGTCTATCCAGGCGGCGGAGAAGTTCCGACGGTTGCGTTTCACCACTTTGCCAATGACCGCGTCAATGAGGAGTGGTTCCTTGGTTCCACGACCACCGCCCCGACATCCATTTTGAGCGCGCGACATCACCTGATTTGAGTCCAGGTGACAAGTGATTCTCGCGCTCAAAATGGATGTTAGTGTCTTGTATATGGTCGGTAGACACGTGATGGGGCGGTATTTGCTCGGGTCTGTGGTACCCTGGTCTTTAGGAACCAAATGAGTGATCCCAGTAGTGAAGAGGCTTGGGAGCGACTTCTGGTTGAGAGCCTCTTGAAACTGTCGGGCAAGCACAGAGTGACACACCATGAACCCCTTCAGCCAGTAGTGATGCAGCCCGTCAAGCCCCGGACTTTTCCAGTTCGGGGCCCTACGGACCGCCTCAGCTACGTCATCCGGCGTTATGATGACGGGGTCCATGGGCGTAATACCCGCACACTGACTCGCCACAACTTCCGTCCAAGGGCCCTCGCTGTGGTTTACGGGCTCTGACCACAGGCCGCGCCAGAATGCTACAGTGTCGGCCTGATTCGGTGCTGGACCCGTTCCACTTACCATTGGTCGCTCCAATGATTCATAGAGCCTCTTCTGATCACTCTGGAAGAGACGATTCTGGTTGAACCGTGTCGACCTCTCGGTATATCGCCGAATCCGCTTTCCCCAAGCAGCGATTCTCTGCTTCAGATCATCTATGCGCTCCGTCAGTTTTTGCGTTATATCCGGCTGGGACAAACTGACATTTGTCCCAGCAAACGCCATCCTGACGGTGCGCACAATTCTTGGCCTGTTGTTGCCTGATCTGAAGCATATCAGTCTGCCGATGAGAGCTCTAGCCTTTGCGATACGTTCCTCAATTCTTCTTCTCCATGCTGGGATAGCGCTACTATGGCCAGTAGCGCGTCCAGCCGTGGAAACCTTGGCGCCTATGATACGGCAGACTGCCAGCGCGGCGCCAAAAAGAATTGAGTCCGTCTCGCAAAGGTCCCGGCTGGCTTCCAAATAGGTCACCAGCATTGGGTTCAGAGCCCTCACGACAGCCCGATTCCGCTTGCTTAGGGCTATGCGGGGAAGTCGCGGTCGATTTTCGAGAGGCGTACTGCGCGTTTCCACAATCGCCTCTTCCAATGTACTCCTCATATGCTCTAATTCCAGTTCCTGGGCGACTGTTCCATCATCGTTTGAATCAACCACAACTGGGGTATTCACGGCGGCATCCACGTTTGCGGGTTGCTCTACCATTTGTGGCGCCGCATCCTCAGCCGTAGCATTCTCATCCGACGAGGGAACAGCCTCACGTCGTAGCCGTTCGAGTTCGGCGACATCAAATATATTTGAGCGCAAGATATACCGAACTCGGTCTGCCAGGTTTTGCTCTGTGACGGTTAAAGATGGCTCCAGCTCAGCAAAAAGACGATGCATCCTAGCCCGATACGCCAAACATCCAGTTTCTCCCCCTTTCGCCCCAAAATACGCCCGCAATGCGTTGCTGTTCATCTGGGTTGTCCAACGCATGCGGCGTACTCCACCAGAGGCGGGTGCCGATTGCTGGGCCCGCGAAGACCCTGCCGACACCAAGCCAGCTGGTGGGGATGATGGATGCGAGGGGCTGCTGGGTGGTCGTGCAGCACCTCGCGCTCGGCTGGCGGTTCGCATGCTGCCGCGTCCAGCGCCAGCTCCAGACGCGCCCTGGCGACCTCCAGGCAGCGGCCCTTTGCGCGTTCTTCCGTATTCCATCATCCATAGTGGTGGGCGTCATTTAGCGGGAGACGCCCAGACCCGGCGCCGTTTCATGGTGAGGCCATGTGCACAAGCGGGCCTTTGCACCTTCAATTTTTGCCGAGGCACGGCACTAACACCTCTTGGCAAGGTGCTGACTGACTGCGCTGACGTAGCGGTTTTGTCACATAACCGTTACGGCAGCGGGCGATGGGGTCGTCACTTCCCTACGCCTTATTATTATTATTATTATTATTATATTATTATTATTTAGTTCATTCTCTCTCTTTACCGTTTGAGTCGCATATCCTGTGAACCTGTGATATCCTTGAAAGTCAATAGGTTTTAGTTCGATAAAATTATTTTATTACCTATAGCATGTAGTAGATGGCGCTATTATAAATCTCACATAGAAAATGTTCGGTTCCCAATGGATCTCATAGACTCAGCAGAGTACTGGAGCCCGAAGTGATCCATTTGAATGATCGATCCGAATGTACCCGTACGTGTGACGAAATGTACTAGAATGATTCGGTCACTAAAAATGAATGATTGACACTTGTCTACCGTACTTGACGGATTTGACGGGATTATAGTGCTCCCTACAACGGGAGCTAGATTTTAAAATTGGCAACACTGCTTTTAAGTGCCGTAGCCCCACGCGAGTGCTCCACTAATTATAAACGGTGTACTACATAAGTTAAATTATTTTCTGTGTAATATACTTCGGTCAATAATACTGTTATTATAACTATATTACAAAAATATTTACAATTAATAATTTCTAAGACTGAAAAAAACTGCTGTCCTTGTTTTTTTTTAGCTCAACCAGTTAGGATACATTCTTATCATCATGCAATACATTAACCTATATAACACTCATGAATTGGAACTTTAATAATATTCTACACTGTGTAATAATGATAAAAACCGACTGGCAAAATCAACTTATTTAAATCTCCATAACTTTTGTCCACTACTGCGTAGCTTCATGCACTTTTCTTATTCTTTATATAGAAGATCTGTTCTTTCAAATGACATAGATTTCATCTCTGTACAATTTGGGGCACAGGTTCGTACAATTTTTGGCCATCTCCTTTATGATGGTATACGAATAATAAATGCTTGTTTTCAGACTGATGGAAAACATGTGGAGAATACCTATAGTAAAATTAAATATATGAGTAAGGAATGAAAGAAGTAACAAAAAACAAGCTTAATCATTCTAAGAAACGTCTGAGATAAATTTTAGCTACTTCCTCAAGGTAGAATTAACAGTTTAAGTAATGTTGTTTCACACGTATACTTGTAACATAGTATTTAGTAAAGTCCGTTCACTATGACGTTTCAATAAGATGTCGGTGCATAAGGAGGGCACTTATTATTTTGCTCCTTATTTTATTATTTTTATTGTGTTTGTTAAATAAATGCGTTGAGTTATACAAAACTAGAGGAGTAAAGCACATGCGTCGAAAAAAGTGTAACCACTGTCCAACCGCGATGACGTAGCTTTGAAATTACTAAACACTTTAAATAAACATATATCTGTCTCACTTACACCAGTTGCGAAAACAATAACGTCGCTAATGCCCCGGCTACACGCTCCGTCTTGCCTGCACAGTCCAGGCCTGTGCAGTCATGGCTGTACAATGGCTCGTGCAAGTAAGTTTGTGTTAACTGGACTGTGCAAACCTCATAGTGTTTTGAGAGCTAGTCACGTCACGATGTGGCCCGAAGAGGTTTTTTTTAAACGGAGCCTTATATTATTGTTTACTTGTAAAAAAGCAACAAATAAGAAAGTTTTTCAATTAATAAATGATAAGCTTCATTTTTTTGTTCCTGTCGGAATATTCCTTACTTTTAATTTTCCACAACGCCGGCAATGATTTGTACAATTCTACGAATTCAGTTAAAAAATCCCTGGAATAATTGTCAACAAGAATTAAGACGGACTGAAGCGCGGCTTCAATAACCGGCCACACGCTCAAGTAAGCTCGCAGGCAAAACCGTGCAAACCAAACCCGCGCAGTCCAATCTTTAGCACGTCAACGATTACGCAGGTCGCCTGCGCGAGCCACCGTCTTAGGCCCAGTTCCCACTACGCCGGACCGGCAGATCTGCCGGAAACCGGACACCGGGCAGAGTGTTCACATTACATCGGATCCCGGAAGAAATTCAGACAGTCAAGTACATCTCAGTTGAATTTGGACCCGCGCGCACAATGGACGACGAAATTGTTGTGTTGTGGTGGTATCTTAATAGAAGGCAAAATAAAAGAAAACATTGAGCACACTATTTTACGGGAAAGATTTTCACTTGGAACATTTGAAACATTAATGGGTGAACTTAGAAGACACGAATCAAAGTTCTTCAATTATTTTCGAATGACAGCAACCACTTTTGACGATTTACTGGGACGACTAGACATAAGAGTACGAGATACAAGTTTCAGAGAATGTGTTTGCCCAGAACAAAGATTAGCCATATGTCTAAGGTAAGATTATTTTATGCACTAGATTGCGTAATAATAGTTTTGACGTAGGTACCTACTTAAGACTGAATGAATGAATGAATGTTTGCTATATATGTTTGTTTGATGAATGTGAATATATATAATGTGTGTGTGTGGGAGGTGTATGTACTTGATAATCATTATGAATTAAAAATGCAAATAACTTATTTAAGTATTTATTTGTACTCAAACTTAAATCCCTTCAAAATCAAAATAATTTGAGTCTTGGGAATGTATGGAATGATTACTAGATGCTGATGGCGAAGCTGGAATCGGATTCGATGTCTGAGATGAAGTTGATGGTATAGATGTTGTTGCCTGTTGATTGACGCTATTATGTGTGTAGTATCCAGAATACTGATCTGGTCCGGTCATCTAATTATATGAATCACGCCAATGTCCGTAATTTGGTCTCTCATAGTTCCTACTTTTAATTTTTTGCAACATTGTCATGACGCTTGCTTGAAATTCTAAAGTCTCTTCGATAGTTAAAGTGTTCAAGATTGGTATAATGCCTTTGAAGAAAGACAGATGATGGTTTTCCTTTTCTGGGTTTATTCTGGAGTCCAAAAACTTTACCATCCTGTCATTTACCACTTTATTATCAATTTTTCTTTTATCTTTAATTAAATGTGAACGAAAATTTGATTCCATGCCTACTTCAGTCTCAGTTCTTGCTTTTTTTGAAACTGACTCATGTGGTGGTCGAGGTTCGGAGACTATTTTCAAAAACATTAATTGCTCGTGATATAAATAATTTCGTGTCTTTTTGGCCGAAGATCCAGATTTAGACTCATCTTTTTGTTTCTTTACTGTCTTAAGCCACGAATCTCGTATATTATTCCATTTAGTTGAAACCTGTTTTCCTGAAATAAATAAAAAAATATCATAAAACAATACAATTTGTTGCTTGGTGACGTATAAAGTAATAATGTATTAACAAAAAATAGTTTTTTTTTTCAGATATTTAGCTTCAGGATGTTCATTCAAAGAAATACATTTACAGAGTAGGCGTTTCGACAATAAGTAAACTAATAAAAGAAATGACCCATGTCATTTGGGAAAACCTAAAGACGGATTTCCTTAAACTACCTGATACTGAGAGAGAATGGGAGGACATCGCTTCAGGATTCGAAAGAAAAGCCAACTTTCCTCACTGTCTTGGAGCAGTAGATGGCAAACATATCAGAATTTTGAAACCAGCCAAGAGTGGTTCTATGTTCTTTAATTACAAGGAGTATTATTCTTTTGTATTAATGGCAGTTGTCGATTCAGAGTACCAATTTATTTTTATTAGAGTGGGCTCATATGGCAAGGAATGCGATTCTACTATATTAAAGGATAATACATTTTGGCAAAAGATCAATGATGGTACTTTAAATGTACCAAAGCCTAGACCGCTTCATGAAAACTTGCACGAAGAATTACCGTTTATACTTGTTGGCGATGAAGGTTTTGCTTTAACACCTAATCTCCTACGTCCATATGGAGGTACACATTTGAATACTGATAAAAAGATTTTTAACTATAGACTAAGTCGAGCAAGAAGGTATGTTGAGTGCGCTTTTGGTATTCTGGCAAATAAGTGGCGAATAATCCATCGAGCTATAGATCTGAACGTAGACACAGCAATTCAAGTAATTAAAGCTTGTACAGTCCTACATAATTTTGTAAGAGAAAAAGATGGTGTAAATTTTGAAAGTTACCAAAATATAGAACATAGACAAGAACAAGAAACGACACCCATGGATCGGAATGTGTCGAGTCGAGGTGGCCCTAATGCCAACGCTATACGGACATCATTTACTAATTATTTTGTTTCGGATATTGGTTCCGTTCCGTGGCAGGCAGCAGCTATAAAATAAAATTTATCAATGCATTTACATTTTATCAATAAAACATTAAAAACTCACCGTACTGTTTTCTTTCTTTTTCATCCAGTTCATCGAAGTTTGGTTTCAGTATTAAACATACTTCAAGCCATGCTGCTAACTTTAAGTTTTTGTCTTTATAGATGTCTTCGGTCTTATCCCACAGAACAGGTCTCTCTTGGACAAGCGTAATTAAAGTTTCTGCTTGAATATCCATGCTAAACGTCTACTTTTACCAGAAAATGCGAGCCGAATGACGTGAGTGGAACACCGGCGGCACGAGGGGAGCACGAGCGGGGCGAGCGGGGGGACAGATACCGGCACAAACTCGTTCACATTACTCCGGGCCCGGTCGTTCTACCGGCAATTCGTAGTGACAAAACGCTCAGTAAAAATGCCGGGTTCGGCAAAAATGCCGGACCCGGGATGTGAATAGCACAGTAGAAATACATATAAATTGTACAGCCACTAGCCCTTCCGGCAGATTTACCGGCGCGACAGATCTGCCGGTCCGGCGTAGTGGGAACCAGGCCTCACCGTCCACACGCACGCGCTTTCCTGTGCAAACCGGTTTGTGCAGGCATGCTCACAGGCAAGACGGAGCGTGTAGCCGGGGCATAAGATTAGATAAAGATAGACACACCAAACTTGCTATGGCGGGTTGGTTTGGCTTACTATATGAAATTTAACCCAAAATACGCAATAATGAGTTTTTTTTAAATGCAGTTAATTGTTTTTATTTTAAAAAGTATATTTCCTTATCAGGTGAATAGAAGTTAGCGTAACTGATGAAATAAAACATATTTTTATAAGTATTTTTATTGCACTAATAAATCAAACAGTATAAAATAGGTAATAAAATATTTTTTTTATATAGGATAAGGGTGACAAACGAGCACACAGTCCGCCTGAGGGTAAGTGGATGCTGTGGCCCATAGACATCTACATTCGATTAAGAAAAAGCGTTGTCACCCCTGAGGACTAAGATGGAATGCCTTGATCGCAGTAAAACGGGTCTCCGGTTCTCTACACTTACTATACGAAACACAGCAGCATTAAGCTGCTATTTTACGCTGGTTTTCTGTAGAGCGTGGTCCTTCCCCGGTCGAGCCGACCCATTCATGCTACAACCATACTATAGCTGCAGGGTGGCTCTACCACGTAAAGAATTAATATAAAATTTTTATTTTAGATTCGTTTGACGTAGTTTATTTCTTTCTTCCAAGTCAATGGTACTATGCAAACCGCACTTTTTAAGTGACTATTGACATAATATGGCGATCATTCAAGGAAGAAGAAAGATTTTCTTATCCTGTCCCTATTCTTATTTGAATCGCATTGTATATAGATCATTTTAAAGAGAAAGCTGGCTGGTGGTAGTGGTATCATACAGCAAATTAAAGAGTCTTACAGAAAAAAATAGATTGGTGATAACTCTACTCTACCGATATAAGTGTAGCTCTTAAACACGTCTTAGCGGTCAGTCTTAACGTCTTAGCGGTCAGTCTTAACGTCTTAGCGGTCAGTCGCCGTAGAGTCAACATCACCCACCTCCCACCACCACCACCTCGTGTAGAGGCGAAATACGTGTCGTATTATCGTCCATGGTGTGTCTTTCCTAGAAAAGTGGTGTTGGGAGTAGTGGCGTTAGGAGTAGTGGTGCTGAGATTGGTGGTGACAGGATTAGGACACGCAATTGAGGGAGGGCGGGAGGTGCTCTTCAAACTAGGGAAGACACATCATTTTATTTTATTTAGCGGATGGTTGCAAAATAACTATTAATATCTTTATTATAATGGATTTCCGCAAAGTAACGCCTGATTCTATCAATTATCCGGAAAAAATGGTAATCTGTTGGAGCAAGGTCCGGGGAGTACGATGGATGTCGCAGACATTCCAATTGTAGCTCATCTAACTTAGTGGTTGTTTGTTGTGCAGTGTGTGGTCTTGCGTTGTCGCAAAGCAGCAGTGGCCTAGAGCGATTGACCAATCTCGATTATTTAGCAGCTAGTTCTTCCTTCATAGTTTGCAATTGCTGACAATAGATATCTGCCATAATCGTTTGGTCTCCGGCCGTCCACGGGGTTGGTTCTGAAGGCCGAAATTTCCAGAACAAAAACGTTGAAACCAAAAACGTACCGTGCTTCCTTTGATACACCAGCGCCGTACATATCATTAATCCTTCGAGCTATTTTTGCAGCACAGGCGCTACGGTAGAACTCGAACTCGTAAATATACCGATATTTCATGTTTTCCATTGTGCGGTAATAAGCGACGCCAAAGAAATAAATAATGAGGAAAAACAAATGAATGAGTTTTTAAAACTCAAATGTAGCAGCTAAATGAATTTATAAATTTGAATTTGGAATTCTTAACCAAAGAGGAGATATTTCAGTGGTCAGTACGACAAAACGCTAATTTCATATGTAAGGACACAATACTACTAATTAGGTACGTATTATTGTAATTTCGATGGTTTTTAATTGATTTATTTATTTAGTTTATGCTCAGACGAAACAAAAACTCGTCGAGTTTTTATTTTGTCTGAGAGTTTAAGTAATTTTTTAGTACCGCAACTTTACTTCAAATTGGTAGTATTTATTGATAGAAGAATTTCATAATATGTCAATGTAAAATAAAAATAAAATAAATGGGTGCGTTTGGCAGAAAAAAGCGCTAGCAAGCGCTTGTAAGCAACATGGCGATCGTAAGCGGTAAGCGCTGCCAAATCGTAAGTAGCTATTTTCCTCTAGACACGATGTTAGTTTTAACCAGGGAACCTAACCTAATTTAAATATATGTTTGTAAAGTATTCATATTAAAAACTTACTAATCATGAATTTTTAATAACATGTATATGTTTATTCATGTCATTATATTACTTAAAACTAATATTGCACAAAACAACTTATAAACTCTACTTCAAAACAAACAAATTAAATAAGCAAAATGGCGGATTGTGTCAGCGCTACTGAAGTATCAACCGTGTCCTGGCCGAAAACTATTTTAGCGCTTGTAAGCGCTTGCTAGCGCTTTTTTCTGCCAAACGCACCCAATGAGTACCACTGGCTTTTATTCCGTCACCTGTTGCACCTTATTTTTTTCCAGGAAGTAAAAAAACATCCAGTAAGTACTAATAGAATATGTGCGGCTATGAACTATAATGGCTTCGTGTCTAAAAAAATTGAATGTTTTTCTTTTCAACTCACTATTATTAATTTAACCTGTATTTACATAGGTGCAAAATTTGTATGTGTTAATAAAAATGTAGGATGTTTTAATACGCTTTTATTCGCTTGAATGTATGTACCTACTCGTATTTATATACCTATGTTTGTGTGGGTATGAATGTAATGGAATTGTATTAATCAGTTTTGAACCACTTCTTGACATCTACACACAAATTAAGAACCGATAACAATACAATAACTATATGACTATGACAATAATTATATGATTATATATATTCTTCTTGCATCATCTCTGCTCATGATCAATACAAGCTAAAGTCTTTATTATTTAATCGGTTTTCACGTACTTCTGTATGTCTGAACAATCGGAAATGTGGCAGGCGTATTACCGACGACAATACGAAAATTTCTTGACTGTAACTACTAGTAGGGGTCATCAAACTAGGTCACGCTAGGCTCATAATCTATATAGCTGAAGAGTTTAATACTAATAGATGACCACATATATAATTGCGTACTTCCAAAGTGTTATTATGTTTTCAATCAAGAAATATTGCACAAATTTTACTTTTGCAGTTTTATATGTAATTATCTAAATTTCTCAATTTTCTTCTCCTTAACTATTTCACTGCCCTGTAAGTCATATATTATGAACATTTCAGTTGTTAAGCGGGTGAAAGCTATGTGATTCTTAATAATATATCCGCAATATTTCGTATTATTCAATTAATGTCGAATGACGACATTGTCTTAAATACTGTCATTTCATATTGAGAAAATTATGGCAATCCATTCCTCCCTCCTTTCAGACAAGGTCATCGATGAACATAGACGTAAAAATGACATTTTGCATTGAGATTGCAATAGTATGTCCCACGATGTTGATCGAAATCCGGCTTCTTATTATGGTCAGAAATTCTATCTAAATATCATGTGACCGCACTTCGCTTTTTCTCCAAAATTAGTGCTCTTTGACAAAAATAATCATTTTGTGGCAATGGACCGGTAATATAGCTCGAAGAACCGAAAAACAATGGGGTAACGAGATTCTCGAGTGACAGTCTCGACTGGAATGATGTCCTTACGAAATATGCTGGCGATCGACGGACTCAGATGACTCAGGACCGTACTTCGTGTCAACCTGTGGTGGAGCATAGGTCTAAAGCAGGGGACCTGTGATGGGTTGTAGTGATAGTGATTGTAATAGAATGAAATGAGTGACGATTGGAATAGGAGGAATTTTTATCAATACACACATACCTACATAAACACTTCAGAAGGGTAGGCAGGGACTACAAACTTCCATTTAGAACATAGAATACTATATATTATGTACATATGTATGTATTCTATGATTATATATGTATGTATTCTATGATTTGGAACGATCCTGAAACACCTCTCCCGCCTCCTTTACATCCATATCACCATCCTACGTATATGTGCTCGTCGATTAAGGATACTCTTAATTTGGCCAAACGCCAATATAAAAGAACATTTTATCAATACATCTCAAAATATCTATGTATAACGGGAGAGGTCCCTTTACAGCTGTGGATATTTATAGGCTGATGACAAAAAGGGATGAGTATAGCACGCCAATTATATTTAATTACCTTACGATAAAAAGCAAAAGGAGCCGTGGTAGCTCAGATGATTAGCGCTCGCTGTAAATTTCACAATACGCGAGCAAACCGGATTCGATCCCCGCCAGTACCAATGAAATTGTTAATTGAAATTTTAAGTACAGATTTATCAAGTGCTCGGCGGTGAAGGAAAACATCGTGAGAAACCTGCATGTCTGAGAAATCAGAAAAAATATATTTCGAAGACTGTGATGATGATGTGATGATCGCCAACACGCATTGATGATGCGCGGCGGACATTTCCTTGCCCTAAAACCCTCTCAGAAATGAGAGGAGGCCTGTGCCCTGGAGTGGAACGTATATAGGCTGTAACTTTAACTTTAACTTTTGTAACCCAACGATAATAACTGAGATTACCAAATGCTCTGATTTCAGACGCC